CTCGCGAGTCATATGAACAACCTGGGATCAATACGAACAGGTTCATTTTTGTGAAGTTTTCTAAATTCACAAACAGGAATATTTAATTAAAAACTCAATGAGGACCTTTTAATCATTTTATACACCGCACATGTACCAGATTGATTGATTGAATGTTTTACGCCGAATCGGCAATATTTCAGCTACAAATCGGCGACATATGTATCAGAAATGTATTTCAAAAATCATTCCCATGTCATGATTAATAACTGCACGGTAGTGAATATGTACATAAAAATCATAAGAAAGAGATCAACATTAAAACGACTTATCTTCAAAATATTTATTGATAATGTTGTTCATTAAAGTTATTTTGCAAAGAATCAAAGTAAAATGAACGTCTTGGTGCAAACATTATTCGCGGTGTCCTGATAGTTGTTCACAATTTCTCTAATTTGTCCGAACAAATAACTAATTCGTCCGAAAGAATTTCTAATTTGTCCGAACGAATATCTAATTCGTCCGAAAAAATAACTAATTCGTCCGAACGAATTTCTAATTCGTCCGTACAAATAACTTATTTGTCCGAACGAATTTCTAATTTGTCCGAACAAATATCTAATTTGTCCGAACAAATTTCTAATTCGTCCGAACGAATTTCTAATTTGTCCGAACGAATATCTAATTCGTCCGAACAAATAACTAATTTGTCCGAACGAATTTCTAATTTGTCCGAACAAATAAAAATATTTTTTTACCTGGCCCTCCAGCGGCGCCGTACTCACCCCATTGGAAAAGCGGGAGGGCATATATCTAGTGATCGGGATGTCCATATGTATGCCCATCAGTTACGCTTTTGGGTACCCATCTCTTATCCGCAACTCCCTTTTACCGCTGAATGAAATTTAATGAGACTTTCACAGACTTTTTTGTTATATAGTGCCAATGTGTACCTCTTATTTTACTTTTTGATTAGACAAATATTTTGGGTTTCCCAGAACAAAACATTGGCATAGCATTTTTTTTTGCTGTAATTATATTGAAAGGTACGTACCCATCTCTTATCTGCGACTCTTCATATGTCACTAAATAAAATTTAATGCCGGTATGATACTTTCACAGATTCTATATAACATAATGCCATTGTGCAACTCCTATTTTACATTTTGATCTGACACTTATTTGGGATCTCTCAAAGCAAAACATGAACTTTGCCATCACATATATAATCATGTGGGAGTCGGGGGGGGGGGGGGGGTATCATATAGTGAGCTCAAGGCTCAAAGGCACTCTAGTTTTACCCCCTGCTTGAAAAGCGGGGGGGGGGGTATATAGTAATCGGGATGTCCGTCCGTCCGTCTGTATGCTTTGGGGTACCCATCTCTTCCACGCAACTCGATCCTTTCATACCACTAAATAAAATTTGACAGAATCTGTATTATATAGTGCCATTGTGCACCTTCCATTTTACTTTTTGATTGGACACATATTTCGGGTTTTCCAGAGCAAAACAATGACACTGCCATTTTTTCTATAATATTGAAGGATACCAACCCGTCTCTTTTCCGCAACTCCTCCTATACCACTGAATAAGACTTCGTGATACTTTCACAGATTTTTTATTACACAATTCCATATTGTGCACCTCCTATTTTACTTTTTGATCTGACACATATTTCGGGTCTCCAAGAGCAAAACTGGGACTTTTTCATTATAATCATATGGGAGGCGGGGGTATCATTTAGTGAGCTCGTTGCCCACAGTACCTCTATAGTTTTATTTTGCTTTAAACAACAGTCTGGAATAAAAATGATCACTTTTTTAGCTTTGAATATCTTGATTTTATTTGGATACTTAATTGTGAAAGTATTTTTACACCCCTGCTCGAAAAGTGGGAGGATATAGTGATCGGGATGTCCTTCCGCTTGTACGTGTATCCGTTTGTTACGCTTGGGGGTGCCCATCTTTTATCCGCAACTCTTCTTAAAACACTGAATGAAATTTTATGAGACTTTCACAGATACATAATGCAACTGTGCACCTCCTGTTAACTTGAGTTGGTCTGCCACTTATTAATTTGGGTCTCGCAGAGCAAAACTATAATCAAATGGGGGGCGGTCCGAGTATCATTTAGTGAGCTCAGTCTCGTAGTACCTCTAGTTATATCTTAAAGTTTGTTTGCAGTCGATTTGAGGCTTTGCATCAATTTTACCTACAAGTATCACTTAACGCTTTGTAACTGCTATTTCTCACTGGTTATTCTCTTTAGAGAAGTGGGCAGGCATGGACAAGCGAAAGTATGAGGCTCCGTTTTAATATTTTTAAGGTGTTTCTGATATCAAAAAATCATTTTGTGATATCAGAAAATATATTTTTTGATATCATTAATTAAACAAGAGTTTTTGATATCAAAAATTCGAATTCTTGATATAAAAAAATATCAGTCATTTTCTGATATCAAGCATTCGAATTTCTGATATCGAGAAATCATTTTATGATATCTAAAAGACTTCCTATATCAGAAAATGATTTTTTTTAATATCAGAAATTCAAATTGATTTCTTGATATCACAAAATATATTTTTTGATATCAGAAAATAAAATAAAATGGCGACGAATCTTCACATAAATAATGAATACTCCCTTGATCTGTAGAAAATCCCGAACTTCAGTGCCAGATTAGCTTTCTACTAAACTTTGTTGATTTCAGATTATAAGAATATTTTTTCAATAAAAGAATTTAACAAGTGTCACAGCCGCAGTTAATCTGACTCCATAAATATCAGAACAGCTGTTGGTGGGTTCTTTTGTTTATGTATGTTTCAATTACTTTGACAGGATGATATAATAAGAATAACAAAAAGAAGGTGACCTGTAATATAAATGAATACACTCATACACTAACACTCACACATTTAATTATTTTAGAATACTTTAACTGTTCTGATTAATTAGATAATTAATTGATAAAGTATTTAATCTAATTATCTAAGCAACGGTGGTAAATTAATTCTTACCGAATAGACAGGTATAAAGTTGTCTTTATTATTAAATAAGAGACTTTATGGAGAGGAGATAAACTCTTCCTTTCTCCTGGCTGTCTTAGGGTGGAGTGAGTTATTAAGGGTGTTTGGCGCCAAGCATGCTTATTTGGTGCCAAAGTAGTAAAACCACTCACACACTTCTCAGACTGAAATATCAACCAATCACACACCTTCAAACCTCACCCATTCTGACACAAACACCTTTGACCTTTCACACTCCTAAACTAACCAATAGGCATTCAACCTCATGAATATGAATGAGCGACTTCATGAATGAATAGAACACATAGTAAATTCCAGAGTACTGTAATTCACTATGCTGTATAATAGATGAAAATGATGATGATGGAAATGAAATGATTAGTATACTAGGTCACAAATTATTAATAAATAAAATAGTATCTATTATAATGCCAGGTATTAATTTATTCACCCTGTGACACAAGTGTTCTAGATATTTTTGGTCATATTTATTTGCATGGAATTCAAATACATTACTTTTTGGGATAAATCTGAGTAAATAATCTAGGGTTTGCTGTGTCGGGCTTAGACTGAGAATTTCTCCGTAACCCCTATCAACAACAGCCAATACCTTCTACAATTGCATATTTGTGTAAAATGAGGTTACATCACAACTGGCCAGCAAGTACTCGTTGTGTGAAGTTTATTCTTCAAGGTGAAGTCTGAGTTATCCGTAAGGAATATGCTGAAGTTATGTGTGCACAATAAATGATTAAAAATATAGTCAATAGTGCAAAAGAACGACTGCATTCTAATTTCAAGACATGTCTTAAACTTATTAGAACCCAACCAGGCGCGGATCCAGGAATTGGAAGTTAGAGGGGGCGCCAAAAGTAGGCAAGGGGTCTGGGGGCCGCGTTGAGGCCCCCAGTGGGTCCAGGGCAAAGCCCTGGTGGGGGCCCAGGGGGCGAAGCCCCCGTAAGCTCCTGGGTTCTAGAGATTTTGTAGGGTAAAAATGAGGTCTACCAAGTAGACATATTTACATTTTCTAGACAAAACTGTGATTTACGTTAACTTTGACAATTTTAGGGGGGCGCGCGCCGCGTGCGCCCCCCCCCTTAAATCCGCCACTGCCAACCAAGTTCACAACAAATTTGTGTGGCGGGAAGACGAATGTTCATCACGGGGAGCATTCATTAAGTTGATCGTAATTTTACTTGGTTCTTATTTTCTGATATCAAAAAATCGATTTTGTGATATCAGAAATTACTAATTATTTTTTGATATCAAAATTTTATTTCCTGATATCAAAAAAGAGAGTTTTTGATATCAAAAAATGATTTTTTGATAACATGAAATCGATTTCTTGATGTCAGAAAATACAAGTTATTATATGATATCGAGAATTTGAATTCTTGATAGCAAAAAATTAAATTCTTGATATCAAGAATTCTTGTTTTTTTTTTTTTTTTTTTTTTTTGATATCACAAAATAATTTTCTGATATCAAAAATTCGATTTTTTGATATCAAAAAATGATATTCTGATTATCAAAAATTCGAATTTCTGATAGAAAATAATTTTTTATATCAGAAATTCGAATTTTTGGTATCAGAAAATGATTTTCTGATATCAAAAAATCTATTTTTTGATATCATTTTTTGATACCAAGAATTCGAAATGTTGATGTGAATAATTTCTTTTTTGATATCAGAAAATCCCTTAAAAATATTAAAACGGTGCCTCATACGAAAGCCTGTCCACCTCTCTAAAGAGAATACTCACTGGTCAATGTAAACATTAAGGCCACTTTAAGTAGTCAAAAAATGAATTAATGTTGGCCAGTTGAAGTCTTCTGTAACATGTGTTTCTTGTTACACATGGACACAGTCACTGGGGAAAATGTGTTATACTGTATTTCTCACCAATCACTGTAATAAAAAAAATCCGGAAGTTTTTAAGTCAAGTGATATAGGTTTTTTCTCTTTCCTTCCCGGAAGTGGATAAATTGCGGGAAGATATTATCGTTATGAAAACATAAACAAATTTATTTTAGAAAAATGTACTCGTAAGCTCGACAAATACTTTATTCGATTTTTGTGTCTTAAAGAATTGACACAGATTTATTTTTTTATGGAAAAGTGTCTATGAATAAGCTACTGATGATTATTACTTATCGAATTTGTTCTGGCAACAATTGAAAAATTCCAGTCATGGCTGTGTCACTTGATGAGGAAAAGTGGATACAAGAAGAAATAGAAAAGCATAAAATTCAGATAAAAGCAGGTATTGTCACACTATTTAGATATACATATTTCCCGGATTTGACCATACCCCCATCTTACAATTATTTATGAATATATTCATCTTTAACAAGTAAAACAGGTCCAGGAAAATAAATATATTTAGCTATATTAGCCTACATAGATTAATTTACCTATATAGCTTTATTTACCTATTTAATGTAGCTTTATTTAGCTATTTCAGAGTAAATTTCTGTTATATGAAAAGCAGACAAAAAGTCGCATAATGAGGCAGTATTAGTTTTCAACTTTAAAATGGACTGAAAACAATTCACCAAAAACCCACTTCTAAAAATGTCTCCTTTTGTGCAACTGCAATCAAAGATCTAAAAGTTTTGGGGCTATGTATAACAGTTAGGCTGTGATTAAGCAGCTACTTTAAGCTACTGCAATCAAAGATCTTAAAGTTTTGGGGCTATGTATAACAATTAGGCTGTGATTAAGCAGCTATTTTAACAAAGAAAAGCAGTTTTGGTCAACAAGATAACTGATTGGTAATAATTAAACAAAATGCAAGGCAATCACAGTCATGCCTCATCGCACTTCCAGTGAGGGACAGCTATCCAAACAATAGAGATGCATTTTTTGGTAAAAAGTGTTTAAAAGAGGCAATGTTTTTACTGTCTATGCCCTAGGTTGTTTTTATCAAACCTTTTTGAAAAAATATCAGCCATAATTTTCATGCGACTTTTTGTCTGCTTTTCATAAAACAGAAACTTATTCTAAAATAGCTAAATAAAGCTATTATAGGTAAATAAAGCTATATAGGTAAATTAAGCTATTAGGGCTGTATCAATATATAGAGAATAATACATGCCCTTTTCCATATCACATCCTGTATCAGCCCGAGACACCAATATCAGCCAGATGGCCGAAGGCCCGAGGGCTGATATTGGTCGAGGGCTGATACAGGATGTGATGTGGAAAAGGGTATGTATTAATATATTTATTATATACTTAGTAATAAAATATACAGCATGCATTAAATTGAGAAGAAAATAAGTAAATAATCATGCATGGACTTCTTACATACATGTATATACATGGTCTATTGTCTCATACGATTTGGGTTTGTTTCAACTTCTATTTCAATGCGCTCGATCGGTAATTTGAAAATAATCTATTACATGTATTTGTAAATTAAGATTAACCTTATTTTCAAAAAGTTAAAATTAAGAGAATATGAACCCACCAAAAATTGTGTATGATCTCAAGTACTGTTTTTGTGGTTTAATTTACTAAGGGTGTGATATTGACGTCACAATAGCCGTATCAGCCCTGCAGGGCTGATACGGCTATTGTGACGTCAGCCATATCGCATATGCAAAAAACCTGTATTTATTACTAAGTGTGTAATAAATCGATATATCGATACATATCGATATTCAAGAAAAATATCGTATCGAAAAGTAACTTCCAATACGTATCGGACAGACATTGTTTCTTCAAATTCTGTTTAAAAGATGGAAATTTCAATCACCAAAATTTATATTATATTTTTTGTTTTAATTAAAACCTTCAATAATTATATAATTTCTAAGGAAATAACACAGTTTTTATAATCATTACAAAATACAAAGAGAATGTTTTTTGAACATGTTTATTTTACTGTCATCAAAAGTTTAAATTGATGTGTCATTTTTAAAGACAATGAGTCAAGAACTTTAAAATGGGGAATAAAACTCTTAATTGTTATGAAATGTATGCATTAAAATGATTTAGAAGCCTTTTCTGATGGACTTGTTTCAGAATCCAATATATCGCATATCGCTTTAAAAAATATTGTATCGTATCGTATCGAAATTTTTGGCTCAATACACAGCCCTATAAGCTATATACCTAAATATAGTGATTTTCCTTGACCTGTAAAAATACAGGTCAAGCAAAATCTCTTGATTAAGTTAGGACCTATTTATAGTTAAACTTGCTTTAGTTATGTATAGCTTTATTAAGCTATTAAAAATAACTTTATAAAGTTATTTATATGCAGTTTTCCACAAGAATGTTTTTTCTAGGAAATAAAAAGCCACAAGCATTTGTTCATGAATATATGTAAATTCACTTGTTTTAGCATCTGTGGAGGTTGGTGATTTATCAGAGAAAAATCTGAATGACAAGTATGTATATATATATTTATATTCTAATTGATTTTTCTCTGTTCTATCATTTTAAAGTTACAACTGAACAAAAGGATGAGGTGACTTGCGGCCCCCGGTGAATTGACAAAAAATAAAATGTATGAATTTTACTCAAATTTTTATATGTAACTAATCACTGATATGTGTAGCTTCATAGAATACTATTTTTAACAAAAATAGAAAAGTGGTTTAAAAGATATTGATCCTTTATTGGGGTAGGGGTATCATGTTTACATCCAATTCCCATTGCTTTTTAACCCCGCCCCACTCTTTGAAGTCCTTAAAATATGCGAGCGCAGGTAGGTACAATTTTCTCCTTTGGCTAGTCACTGTATTTTATTGAAATCTACCTATATGCAAAAGGAGAAAATTGTACCTAACTGCGCTCACATGCTATTTTTTAAAAAAAAATGTAAAAATTTAGCTGGCCTTTCCCATTATGAACAGATCGACGGAACCAGATTTTCTGACGTAAGAATGAATTCATATGCTAATAGAGGCACTGGCGATACTTTCTAACTGACCAATCAGCTGAATGAAATTCGTTACGAGTGAGTACCACAAAAATACTATGGAAACATGCTTGGAATTTTACGCTTTTAGAAATTTTTTATGCATTTGAGCCACAGATTATAGACACGGATCTACATATGTACAATTTCGAGCCGAGATGGCAGTAAAATTTATATACATTTACAAACAATTGATAAATTATACATTAGTTTAAAGGTTTTGTAGCGTGTTTGGTGAGCAATTCGCTAGGTCTACGCGCATTCCCGGTTACCAGTGAATACAAGTTTCATGTGCATTTCTTGTCCTAAAAAACGTAAATGCTGAAAATCCATGCGTATTATTAAGTATAAACAGTCTTGGCTGACCATTATAAAAGTTTGAAATGTAGAAAAAGATAACAGGTAAATTGACCTAACCCACGTGTCTTTGATAAAATGTAAACGTAGTAAACCAGCATGTTTTGTTGTTCTGTCATCGGATTGGACAATGACTATGTGCGAAATAATAACAATAGCCATATAAGGTCTTCTCGGACACGCATATCCCTCTATTGTACTAAGACCCGCCCATTCTCTTGCCATAAAAGAACATATTCTCACAAACCTGGCAAAAAGTAGCTGTGATAGGGTCTAAAAAATCGAAGATAATGCAGTATTCTTTATATTTCAAATATGTTTGAACTATTGAAACTATTCAAAAGGCGTCGTATTTATTCACTCATGTTTGAAAACAACCAACATTGCTGTAGATTAAACATAATTCCTCGTAGAAAAAGGGGCCCCAGATAACAGTTAAGTCACCTCATCCTTTTCTTTTATACAGTACTTATTGAAATAAGTGAAATTATCTCTTTATGTTGGATTGTTCTCACATCAATGAAGCCTATATGAATACAAATAATTAATTACATATATTATAACTTTAGAGAATTATTTGGTTGCCCTCTCCCAACCGACCAGTGATGGATCCAGGAATCTTGATAGAAGTATGGTAGGGACCCACAGTCACAAAAAAATGATTTATTAAATCTTGTGTGTTTTGGACACAAAAAGGGCCCCTCCCCCCTTCTCTAAATCCGCCAGTGCTGACTTACTAAAATTTTCCCAGATCAGAACTTATTTTTACATTTCAGGACACAATATTCCTCTTGTCCAGTCAACAATTATTTAAAATTTTCTGGAAAAAAGATTTTCCCGCTACCTACCAACCCAATAATTTTACCCTTATTCGGGAGAGGAAAACCAAACATTATTTTACTAAAGATAGCCTTATCAATAAGTTTACCACAGAAAATTTAACATGATGGTACATTAATGATTAACACTCAGTGAAGATTTTTTTTTAATTGAAATCTGAAGATTCCCCATCATTTACATATACTTTTGTGAGTTGATTTCCTTTTATTATGTTATATCATTTTAACTTCTGTTAGGGTGTCTGAGAAACTTGATGATTTGTTTGAACAGACCATGTTCAGGGAAAGGATAAATCTATTCAATAAGAGGTATTTACTGATAAATTAATTTTAATCAAACTGGCATATAGAAGGTGTCTTCCTCACTCAAAATTATCATATTAAGGTGTTTTAGCATACCTGAAACTAAAGAAAGTGTACAACTATGCAGTAACTGTTCAATTCTTTTACCAATTTCATTCCACAAATTCTTCAGTTTTGAATTCAGGAGCATTCTGATATATAGCATTTCGTTTTGAATGAGACAATCATAAAAGATGAAGTAGATTATAATTTAGTACACCTTCATTAGGCTTAATATATCCACGTAATGTGATTTGTAGGTTAGAGAGGAGTGAGGTGATGGTTGCTGAGTTGTTCCAGCACCCAGAGATTGGAGAGGGAGACGCCCCTCACAAAACACCTGAGCATGAGTATGTATTGCAAGTTCTTGCTCTTTAAAAAAAATTTAAGAATTAATGTTCATGTACTGCTAAGTGATAGCACACGTTTACTTACATGCTGAATACAGGTTTAAAAAAAAAAAAAAAAATTCAAAATTGATTGATTCTTAGGTCACCTGTTTCAGTCAGGTATTCTATTGCAATCATACTCATATTTTGTCCATATGTTGTGATTTTTTTTTTCCATTTTCAATTTTTCCTTAATTACTGAGTCAATTTAATACAAACTTGAACCAAAGCGTACATGTAGTGTACTGGACTGATGAAAAAAGCAAAAAGCCGGGGGAGGGGGGGGGGGGGTTCAAAGATATTACATTGAAGAGTCTTATCCATTCTTGAATGATATTTATATCATATATCAAAAGATTGATAAGAATTACAAGAATAGCAAAGTTTCAAAAAACTCAACTGCATTTGACCCCTCACCCTGGGGACAAGAATTACAGCAAAAAGGGGGTGGCTTGTAAATTTGTTGAGTTTTTTTTTTCATATAAGAAAAATGATTGTAAACTATGGATGTTTTTGTCACACATGTACGTTTATTATTTTTGTATTGATAATGGCATCTTTTCTCTAGAGTTGCACCTTTTATATTTAGTTGTTCCTTTTCTTTGTACAATAGGTATTTGGAGAACCTTATGGAGCGCCAGTGCTGTTTGGTGTCAGATATCATGAGAACACTCAAGGTTTGTTATCTCACCTGTCTGGTGTCAGATATCATGAGAACACTCAAGGTTTGTTATCTCACCTGTCTGATGTCAGATATCATGAGAACACTCAAGGTTTGTTATCTCACCTGTCTGGTGTCAGATATCATGAGAACACTCAAGGTTTGTTACAATACCTGTCTGGTGTCAGATATCATGAGAACACTCAAAGTTTGTTATCTCACCTGTCTGGTGTCAGATATCATGAGAACACTCAAGGTTTGTTATCTCACCTGTCTGGTGTCAGATATCATGAGAACACTCAAGGTTTGTTATCTCACCTGTCTGGTGTTAGATATCATGAGAACACTCAAGGTTTGTTACAATACCTGTCTGGTGTCAGATATCATGAGAACACTCAAAGTTTGTTATCTCACCTGTCTGGTGTTAGATATCATGAGAACACTCAAGGTTTGTTATCTCACCTGTCTGGTGTCAGATATCATGAGAACACTCAAGGTTTGTTATCTCACCTGTCTGGTGTCAGATATCATGAGAACACTCAAGGTTTGTTACCTTACCTGTCTGGTGTCAGATATTATGAGAACACTCAAGGTTTGTTATCTCACCTGTCTGGTGTCAGATATCATGAGAACACTCAAGGTTTGTTACCTTACCTGTCTGGTGTCAGATATCATGAGAACACTCAAGGTTTGTTATCTCACCTGTCTGGTGTCAGATATTATGAGAACACTCAAGGTTTGTTACCTGAACTTAAGGGTAGTAAGCTTTTCTGATCACCTGGTGACTGTTACCTCTAACTTAACACAACCCATACTTGTGGAAAGGTGATTCAAGTTTGTCATCACATCTTGAATGGAGAGATATCAAGAAAAGACAAAAATAGGACAGGTTTCTTAAAAATCTTCCTCTCAAGAAATTAAATGAAAGCTTTCTGACAAATTTCAGTCTAGTTCAACCAGGGAGTTGGTTGGGGCCTTACTACGGGATCAAAGTTTTACAAGGAATATATATAAAAAATATTTAAGAAAAAAGCTTAGACCATGTTTAAAAGTCATCATTATTTAAGCAGACCTGTTTACTCTTACGATTTCGTCGTATTTTGTACGGATTTTTGGTCTAAAATATGTGTTACGTTTTGCTATTACGAAAATACGGAAATTGGAAATTCGTTCCTTTGGAATTAAACAGTTAGCTTTCTTTATGATTTATTTTGGTTTCACGCTTTTTAATGGCTAAAAAGAGAAATATTTCAAACACATAAGTGATCTCGGGTTGCCAAAGCAATGTGGTATTATAAAATGACACATAATATGTTGTTAAACCTTGTTAGCTCTACTGGTCAGAGACCAGAAGAGCTTATGCGATAGTAATGCGTCAGTCGTCCGTCCGTCTGTCTGTCTGTCCGTCTGTCTGTCTGTAAACAATTTTTCAAAATGCTACTCCTCCTACAGTTTTGGTCCGATTTCAATATAACTTGGCACACAAGTAGACTACACTAAGATACATAATTTTGTGCATCGGTTTTTGATTTCGATGAACGGTGTTGCCGTGGTTACTAAAAATAGAAATTTCTGTGAAATTCTTTCAAAATGCTACTTCTCCTATAGTTTTGGTTTGATTTCAATATAACTTGGCACTAAAGTAGACTACACTAAGATACATAATTCTATCTATCGGTTTTTATTCCGATGAACGGTGTTGCCATGGTTACTAAAAATAGAAATTTCTTTGAAATTCTTTCAAAATGATACTCCTCCTACAGTTTTGGTCCAATTTCAGTATTACTTGGCACACAAGTAGACTACACTAAAATACATAATTATGTGCATCGGTTTTTGATTTCGATGAACGGTGTTGCCGTGGTTACTAAAAATAGAAATTTCTTTGAAATTCTTCAAAATGCTACTCCTCCTACAGATTTGGTCTGATTTCAGTATAACTTGGCACACAAGTAGACTACACTAAGATACATAATTCTATGCATCGGTTTTTGATTTCGATAAACGGTGTTGCCGTGGTTACTAAAAATAGAAATTTCTGTGAAATTCTTTCAAAATGCTACTCCTCCTACAGTTTTAGTCCAATTTCATTATAACTTGGCACACAAGTAAACTACACTAAGATACATAATTCTGTGCATCGGTTTTTGATTTCGATGAACGGTGTTGCCTTGGTTACTAAAAATAGAAATTTCTGTGAAATTCTTTCAAAATGCTACTCCTCCTACAGATTTGGTCCGATTTCAGTATAACTTGGCACACAAGTAGACTACACTAAGATACATAATTCTGTGCATCGGTTTTTGATTTCGATAAACGGTGTTGCCGTGGTTACTAAAAATAGAAATGTCTGTGAAATTCTTTCAAAATGCTACTCCTCCTACAGTTTTGGTTTGATTTTGATATAACTTGGCACAAAAGTAGACTACACTAAGATACATAATTCTGTGCATCGGTTTTTGATTTCAATGAACAATGTTGCCATGGTTACTAAAAATAGAAATTTCTGTGAAATTCTTTCAAAATGCTACTCCTCCTGCAGTTTTGGTCTGATTTCAGTATAACTTGGCACACAGGTAGACTATATACTAAGATACATAATTCTGTGCATTGGTTTTTATTTTGATGAGTGGCAAGGATCATTTTTCTATTTATTGCTGATTTAAAGTCTCAAGTCCCAACTGCTACTTTTCTCTTCCTTTGTTTTTAGTATAAACCAGTAGAGCTACAGTCTCGACAGAGACTTCTGGTTTTTGTAATCGGAAAAGCAGATGTTCTCTATTAATATTTGTAAAATCGTTGGAAAGTGAAATCTTACTGGCAAATGCCAAATCTCACGGACAAATGTTATCAAAAATACTGAGAGGCAACGATACAGGTAAACAGGTCTGTATAAGTGAGAATTTTAGCAAAATAGAAAAAAGAACAGAATTAAAATGAAAATGTTGACCTTTTGGGTCAAAATCTTTTGTCAAGAGGTCAAATTTGTTGGTACCCCTCAAAAAAGGTCTTGTCACAATAAATGTACCTGATAAATATGAAAGCCATAGCCTCACCCACCGTTATGGACAAGGTTAATTTTTGTGCAGACAAACAGATTGATGAATATTGCACAAACTTAAGCTTTTCAGTGATCTTAAAACAAAACTTAATTGATAGCATTTAGAATATGTCCACAATCCTTCTGCTATATTATTTCTTATATCTGTACAGGAATGTAGAAAATACCAGGAAGAATTAGATGCGGTGAAAAAAGAAAACAGAGGTACACTTTCTATGTATTGGTATATTTTATCAAACTGCTGCAAACTTTTTCAACTTTTGTTTTTGATTAAGGTACTCTGATCCTCATGTTCTGAAAATCAAGCATTGACTAATTGAAAATGCTCACAAAAATGTCTCTGAATTTTCAATGTTTACCCATAATAATTCTTCTAACCTCATCTTTCAAGTTAATCATATTATATAGAGAAAATTAGTAAATCTCAAATATATTTTCAGATATAAAAACACCTGCTATGCCTTTTCAAATTCAAATTTGACAAATTTTAAAAATAAAAATCATAGGTATCTAGGCTTTTGAAGAAATTCCACAATTTTTATACGTATAATGTACTTTAATTTCTTTTATTTACATATAAAACACTTCTAATTTCCTATCATGTAAATAAACACTGGTATATATGTTAGATTAAAATGAACATCAATTTCTTGATATATGTAATTTTAAAATGCTTTTACGGGGTAAAAATTTCGACTTTTAATTAGACCTTTCTGAGAACTTCAAAGAACCTTGAAGCACATTGAGAGGTATATAATGAAAATTGTTGCATGAAAAGATTTAATTTTCAAGCTTCATTTTGAGACTTTTTGAATTAAATTATAAATCAAAGAGTTGTCCTTCCTAGCTGAGGATCGGAGTCCCTTAAAAGATGACTAATCTTATTTATTTTATTTAGACATACAGGTAGAAAACAGACAACTACTAAAAGAACTGAAAGAGAAACAAGAGAGTAGGAGAAAGACACAAGACCAGGAAACCCAGGGGTAAAGTCAATACAGTGTCTAGCTAACCAGGGGTAAAATAAATATAGTCTCTAGCTAATCCAGGGGTAAAATTAATATAGTCTCTAGCTAATCCAGGGGTAAAATCAATACAGTGTCTAGCTAACCCAGGGGTAAAATAAATATAGTCTCTAGCTAACCCAGAGGTAAAATTAATATAGTCTCTAGCTAACCCAGGGGTAAAATCAATACAGTGTCTAGCTAACCCAGGGGTAAAATCAATACAGTCTCTAGCTAACCCAGGGGTAAAATGAATACAGTGTCTAGCTTACCCAGGGGTAAAATCAATACTGTCTCTAGTTAACCCAAGGGTTAAAAAAAATCTTTCAGTTTGAGAACAAGGATATTGAGAACAATATGTGATAAATTGCTGGAGCTTTAGTATAAATGAAATTTTTACTGAAAGTTGTAAGGTGCAAGAGATGTGAATTTCACTCCAAGTCATTCTTTGTACGGTGGCAGTACCTACCGTGCTAGGCTAGGCTATTTGTAGATTCATTGTAGATCCATGGTAAGTTACACATATGTCCATTACATGTACTAGGTAGGCATACGTAGGATAATATAAGAAAGCACCATAGAAAGTGTTCAAGGAATCTTGTAACAACAACCTTACTTTTATTTTAAAATAAAGAATTTTCTGGTATAATTTTCTTCAATATGAACAATGGTTATATGAGATATTTGATGATGACTTGTAGTTTGTGTGAGGAGTTGGACCAGCAGCTACAAATGATCTCCATCACTAGATGTATACTACAGGGCCTGATTGTAGGAAGTGGGGTTCACTGGGCTGAGAACCAGCAACTACAGGAACTGGTCCTCAAACTGGGGGAAGTCCTCCAGATATAAACTGTTGTAAGTCAATGGGATCCAGCAATAGCAGCTTTCCTCTGCACTTATGGAAGTTATATTTATTTGTTTATTACATGTATTTCTTCAGATTGTAACAGGGTTTCAGTGGTAGATACAGATTTTTTTTTTAATAATTGAATATTGGATTATTTTTTGCCCAAGACAAAGGGCAGAAGACTACAAACTGCTTAAATATTTCATTTGTAGAAAAGTAAATACATGCTATACAGTGAACAATTTAGGCCATGCAAAATTAATTCCTTGGTTCTCAGGCCTTTTTTCAAGAAATATGATGAGGGAGGGAGGCATTGTTTTTTTCTTTTTATTGCCCCCAAAACATGATGAGGCAGCTTTTTACATTGTACAAAACCTCAAAAAATGATGAGGGAGGTGATTAGTTATTTTTATTTTATTGATTTAGCAATAAAAAGGGTCAATGAGGCGCCCTTGGAAGAGACGAGGGAGGGCCTGAGAACCAAGAAATTAATTTTTTTTTGCCTTATCAATATTTTGAAAGGACAATTTACACAATGGTTTCAAAGATAGCAACATTTTATGTAAGGCCAAAAAAAAAAATAGTCTAGTTTCCTGCTGCCAGCCTCCAAAAAATAGGGTAGGTAGGTAGGAATATTATTTTATTTTATTCCATTGGTATTTGTTCATGTTGTTGGATATGAACTATTACAAAACCAAATTAAACATGTCATGGGTCAATATTATTGTTTAAAATAAGAAGTGTTTTATGAAAGCCCATATTTAAAACTTATATTTCGTGAAATACTACTTGAATATATTTTTTTTCACTTTTGGATCATGAAATTTCCGATTTTCCCCAAAAAACTATATAAAAACTTTAGGGTCAGGTGCAAAAAAATAGGGTAGGTTGGGTAGCAGGAAACAAGACTATTTTTATTTTTGGCCTAACAGTATTTTCCTCTCTGTGTTTGTGAAAACAAATGATAATGTACTGTAAAAGGTAAAATGCAGTATAGCAATGATTATGTACGTTGAACTTCAATTAAAATTAATACAATTTTTATACCCTGCTCCGAAGGAGAGGGGGTATACTGTTTTACACTTGTGTCTGTCCATCCATCCGTCTCTCTGTCTGTCTGTAACAAATTTTCGTCGCAGTTTTCTTAAGCAACTAGTCGTCGCTGATGCTTGAAATTTTAAGACAATGTTCTCTGAGGCATGCCACATGTTGGGATTAATTTTTGTTCAAATCTGATGTCAACTTCCTGTTTATCTGTGTGTCTGTTCATTTCATACATAACAAATTTTCATTGCAGTTTTCTCAGCAACTACTCATCGCAGATGCTTGACATTTAAGCACACCTTTTCGTGAGGCTTGCTATATTGTGGGATTAATTTTTGTTCAAATCTGATGTCAACTTCCTGTTTGTCAGTGCATCTGTCTGTTCATATATTAACAATTTTTCTTCGCAGTTTTCTCAGCAACTTCTAAAAACAGATGCTTGAAATTTTAGTAAATACTTTGTTGAGGCATGCAGTATGGTGGGATTTATTTTTATTTGAAACTGATGTCAAATTCCTACTTTTCTGTGCATATACCCTTAACGTTTTAATATTAACATTACATTGTATATTCACATCACAGCGGGGGTATTACTAGTGAGCATTGGCTCACAGATTTCTTGTTTTGTATTGATACAGTGAAACACTCTTGACATACACTAGTTTATTATATTTCAAACAGAAAAAAGCTCTTACATATCTGTTAATTAAATAAAATTTTCACAATACATGTATTATATATAAACAGATTTATATATAAATGCTCACTTCATTTTTAGCTCACCTGAGCCGAAGGCTCAAGTGAGCTTTTCTGATCAAAATTTGTCCGTTGTCTGTTGTCGTTGTCGTAAACTTTTCACATTTTCATCTTCTTCTCAAGAACCACTGGGCCAATTTCAACCAAACTTGGCACAAAGTATCCTTGGGTGAAGGGGATTCAAGTTTGTTCAAATGAAGGGCCACGCCCTTTTCCAAGGGAAGATAATCATGAATTTGTTAAAAATTAATAGCATTTTTAAAAAATCTTCTTCTCCAGAATCGCTGGGCCAGGAAAGATGAAACTCATGTGGAATCATCCTCAGGTAGTGTAGATTCAAATTTGTTCAAATCATGACCCCCGGGGCAAGGGTGGGGCCAAAATGGCCGACCCAAGTTTTACATAGTAATATATAGCAAAAATCTTTAAAAATCTTCTTCTCCAGAACCACTGGGCTAGGAAAGATGAAACTCATGTGGAATCATCCTCAGGTAGTGTAGATTCAAGTTTGTTCAAATCATGACCCCCGGGGCAAGGGTGGGGCCAAAATGGCCGACCCAAGTTTTACATAGGAATATATAGGAAAAATCTTTAAAAATCTTCTTCTCCAGAACCACTAGGACAGGAAAGATGAAACTCATGTGGAATCATCCTCAGGTAGTGTAGATTCAAGTTTGTTCAAATCATGACCCCCGGGGCAAGGATGGGGCCAATATGGCCGACCCTAGTTTTACATAGGAATATATAAGAAAAATCTTGAAAAATCTTCATCTCAAGAACCACTAGGACAGGAAAGATGAAACTCATGTGGAAGCATCCTCAGGTAGTGTAGATTCAAGTTTGTTCAAATCATGACCCCTGGGGCAAGGGTGGGGCCAAAATGGCCGACCTAAGTTTTACATAGGAATATATAAGAAAAATCTTTAAAAATCTTCTTCTCCAGAACCACTGGGCCAGGAAAGATGAAACTCATGTGGAATCATCCTCAGGTAGTGTAGATTCAAGTTTGTTCAAATCATGACCCCCGGGGCAAGGATGGGGCCAAAATGGCTGACCCAAGTTTTACATAGGAATATATAGGAAATATCTTTAAAAATTCTTCTCAATTACCACTGGGCCAGGAAAGATGAAACTGATAGGGAAGCCATCCTCAGGTAGTGTAGACTCAAGTTTTTTCAAATCATGACCCCCGGCCCTGGGGATAGGGTGGGGCCAAAATGGCCGACCCAAGTTTTACATAGGGATATATAGGGAAACCTTTTAAAATCTTCTTTTCAAGTACTTCAAAGCTATGATTAGTGATACCCGGGGTATTTATATGGAATCATCCTCAGGTAGTGTAGATTCTAATTTGTTCAATTGATGAACGATTGGAAGGGGGGGGGGAGGGGAGTAAATTCAAGCCCGATGTGCTCAGGTGAGCGCTGTGGCCCCTGGGCCTCTTGTTATATGAAGTCACAATGAAAATTTGATATGGATGTTTTATGGTACAAATGTGAAAGTAAATGTATATTAAAGATGTACTTTGTAGTTTTAATTTCTTTTTCCAAATAACAAGAAAAAAAAGCTATTACAGTAATACATATCAAATAGGAATACCAAGAACCTTCAACTGATAAATGGTTATTCTACCAAAAAAGTCTGTACTGTTGTTGAATATTATTTTGAATTTCTTCAGAGAGGTTACATGTGGTAATTTAAAGCTGTCAGCATTGTTAAGGAAGAACGATACAGAAACAATCTAGTAGCTTTTACAATAATTCTACAGCATTTTATGCATCATAATTTATAGGCAGCCCGAGTCACCAATGTCAAATCCTTTTGTATGGACATTTATAAGTAAAAAGGAACATTAGCCTCCCTTGAGCCTGAGAGTGGCTGAAACCATCAAAATTGATGCATTCTTCAAAACCCTTTACTCCTGGACATCAGGCATTCAAAATGTTGGCATGATTTTGATGAGCAATGAGCCCACTACCACAACTTTAAATTGTGAAATTGCTAAATTTGTCGTATGTATTTAAATGCAAAACAGGTATACCTTTAAAAAAAATCTCCACACCTGTATCTCCAGGAGAAAAATCATTTGTATGATATAACCTGGAATTCACCGAGATATTGAAATTCTTGCTCCATCAATCCACTATTCAGGCTCCATGGTGGAGTTGGTCATATGTGGTAAATTTTGGCCTGCAAATATGTTGCCATTGATCACATTTGTACCCCCCCCCCCTGCTAGGGGTACTGTAAGCTATGTTGATCATATTTTAAAAATGCTCTGTAGCTTTTAAGAACTTTTCTTCTCCTAATCATCTAAGAACAAGCTTCATTAATATGATAATGAACATAGAGTCCTCATCCACAACAAATTCTATAATTCATGTCAAATGTGTGCAAATTTCCAGTTGAAGGGGGCTAAACTGTCATATTCAGTAAAATGCATTTCAGTTCACTGTTGAGGCCCATGCCCCCCCCCCCCAGCAAAAAAAAATCTTTATGTACATTTATATGATTATGTACCATTTTCATAAAAAGGATATTTGTAATGAATTAACATCTTCTGGAAAGAATTCCATTATGGTGTGTTTATCATTATTCTCATCAGTCATCTGTAAACTGCAATCTTTCCCAGCAAATCCCCCCTGAAATTGGATTTGAATTTCTTCCACATTAGATAATGAATCCAGATTAACTTCTATCCATTGAGGGGAACCCTACAAAATAAATGTATGTTCAAATAATTACACAACAGTATTAAAAGATTTAAAACATATGATTATGAAATTCAGAAAGGCCATGTACGGGTAGTTAACTATCACATCACTGAGCATTGACAAAAGGTTGATGGCAAGATAATGCAATAGGGTGATAACTATGAAGCAATGGTGCTATAGCGCGACAACCATGATCTGATGGTGCAACAATGCCAAGAAGCAAAAGCGATGACATGACAGTACGATGATGATGAAGCAATGTTCACTATTGATTCATTTTGATAAACAGTAAACACCATCCTTATTGCATTGTTGCATCATCACATCATCGTCATCATGCTATATTGCATCATCACTTCATTGTCACCACACCATCACTATTCCTCCTATACCACTAAATAAATTAAATGATACTATCACAGATTCTTTATTACATAATACCCACTGTGCACCTCCTATTTCACTCTTTGATCTGACACTAATGACTTATTTTGGGTCTCCCAAAGCAAAACATGAACTTTGCCATTATTTGGTAGGCAGGGGTACAGTGTGTAACGGGAAAGGAGAAAATGCAGCGGACCAGACTGGGATTTGAACCCGGGCCCCCTGAAACTCCGATCAGGTGCTCTACCAACTGAGCTATCTGGCCACCGGCGATCAAGTCCGGCTGACCGCCACACAGTGTATCATTTAGTAAGCTCATGCAGTGCTCACAGTACCTGTAGTTTTCGTGGGAATCTTTATAAAAGGGAAATAAAAAATAAGTATGATTAATATTATGTAGCGGGAGAGGAGAAAATGCAGCGAACCAGACCGGGATTCGAACCCGGGCCCCCTGAAACTCCGGTCAGGTGCTCTACCAACTGAGCTATCTGGCCACCGGCGATCGAACCCGGCTGACCGCCACAATTAGTTTAACTAGAGGTACAGTGACTGAGTGAGAACAAGCTCACTAAATGATACCTCCGCCTTCCATATACATACCTGTCAACTCTCCCGAATTTATCGGGAGTCTACCGATTTTTAACCATCCCTACCGACTGTCTACTGATTTTTTTTTAAACTGTCGTTTCTACCGATTTTGAAAAATTCCGGATTTTTTACCTACTTGGGTTCGTAAAATACCGACTAGTCAACACAAAAATGGAGGCCATGCAGTGTTTATATCGGTAGCTAATCTGTTTATTGCCACTGATAACAGGTAATCAACAAGGTTTCAACTGTGCTAGCAGATGTAACTGCAGTTGTAATTGCTCCTTATTTTCATTAAAAGTGTATATTATCAAAGAAAGAGATGCCAGATGTGGAAATTTTTACAGAACATGACAGTAAAGAACGATATGGAAGTACTTGATACTTTGCTGCAAATAAGTTTACAAGTGCCTAAGACAAAACTATTTACTCCATAAACAATATTACAGTGATCAGGAAAGGTGTGGCTACAGTACTCTATTATTAATTTAACAAGGAGAGGGAAACAATTTCATGGAAGCTAACATAAATGTTCAGAGTCAGCTGAAGATTTCCCTACAGATTTTGAGATTCAATGACTTGGTAAATCCTGCATCAACATATAACATCCCCTGAAACTACAGAGCAACAAGACAGTGTCTTTAGAAGACTTCTTTAAAATTTACTAAGATAAACAGGGTAATGCATTTCTAAATTGAAATATAAGATAAGCACATTAGAACATTACTAAAATAGAGTATTATATTTTAAAATTTTGATATGTTATGAGATTAAAAGAAAAAAAAATACAGGGTATTTCATTCACACTATATTACACATTATTTTAAGAATGTAAGCATGAAGTTTTGACAATTATTTCAATTTCAGATCTTTAAATCAAGGATACAACTCATGTCCCTTAGACTTAGTGAGAAAAATTCATTCATCCATCTATTAAAAGCTTGAAACTCAAGACTGTCTGCAGAACTTTATTAATTTTTCTAATTGCCAAGTTAAACTACAACATTTGCCATGAATATTATTTAAATGATGCTCTTATGGACTGGCAGAATAGATAGTGAACATAAAGTTTTATAATTTCAAGATTAATTCACATTGTACAAGTTTCTAAACAATGTATGAATAAACAGTAAATTTTATGAAATAATGATGATGTTAGTATTAATAAAGTTTTATCTTGTTGTTTATTTTTGTTCTATAAAACAGTGAAACGCGTGATGACTTTTTGTATTTGCAAAAGGTCGTCGCGCGTTTTCTCCCCCGAAAAATTTTGGCCATGTTGACAGGTATGCATATATATAAAGCTTGAAGAGCATTACTTGATCAGAATTCCAACATGTATCCTCTTCCCCATCTACCATATGTCGTGGTCCATAATTTTTGATGTCTCTATTCAGCACTGAACTAACTCTGCAATTAATAGTGGAATATTGGTGTATTGAGTTCGAATTTACTCGTGGCATTTTCAAAGTGGGATAGCGTTTGTCTCTTCATAAACTAACTTTAAACTTCTTATAAAAAATTAAGTGCTTTGTGGGTTATACTTACTTTAAACTAGTGTCCTTGTTGGTTAAAATGCTTGTCATCATTAAAGTTTTACATTGATATTTT